CTGAGCCGATGTGGAAGAGGCCGGGCCTGCATAGCTCGAGCAGAATTATGACATCCCCTTACAGTCTGCACAACAACCAAGTTATTTATTTGAGGGAACTACTGTGTATTTCTGTATACTATACGTTGAATAAAGGTATCCCTGTTGCCATGTCATTAGCTTCCAACAGCAAACATGCCAAGTTCCATATTTCTGAGAAGGAGTTATTTGACTCTTATGTTGACATCAATTGGCCTTTTAAACAACATGTTGAGCTTGAATAGATAATAAAAACACGCAATCAGCGAGTAAAACAAGGCTCCATCAGATTTCTTAACAGCTCTAATCTGTTTTACAATTTTGTTTATTGGTGCTTTTCATCATTGTTGTTTTTCTGACTTCCCTGCTATGCGTCAACTTGATATCCAACATCCAGGTCACTGTAGGCCATGTATAGTAAAAAGGTACGTCCCTCCTCGTAACAACTGCTGGCTAGAATACCTACAATATAGAGCCTATACAGCAAGGAAAAATGGCAAGACATTCTACAGTGTTGTTTTTTTATCGTCAGAAAGTATTGTAACTTTGCAGAGTCAGTAACGCTCCCAGACTTAGCTTTCCCACACTCTGCTACCCATGCCACCCCTCGCCGCCGCTACACACACACCAGTGATGTCGCCTCAGTGCTCCCCATACACTGCTGCCTTTTGCCTTTTGTCACCAAGACCGCATGAGACGCCACCTAAATCCCCTTCCTGTAACCAAGGCCACGGACCACCATTGTAATCAGATTCCAGCTGCATTCCAGTGCTTTTTGCAACAATGAGATAAGGTGCTGTTTTTTCACCTCTCTCCCGCCCCCAGTGACCACGCAGTCTGTGCGCTGGGCAATTTCAACTACAAACACAATACATTTCACACCAGTGTTTCAAGGAAAGCTATTGTATTCTTTTATACTTGGAAATGAGGTTTGCAACAGCAACGTGGCTTAAAGTCCAAATCAAAGCAAGGTAACGTATAGACAGAACCACTTATGGGCCCCATTGAAATAGCTCTAACTAGGTAAAGTATGTACATGATAACATTGGCTGTAGAGTTTTCAGACATTGACAGGTGAAAGGATTTCAACACCAGAAGCCAAATGCTGAGGATTTGCCAATTTCCCTATTTAAAAAAAAAAAAGACTCCTGAGATTTCAAACATGGAAAACATGACTTTCAGAACATGTCTGTTTATTTAGTTTGATGCTGACCTTGCATACAAAAAAAAATTCCACGACAGCCCAAACCCTATTCCCAACTGTCTATGAATTTGTGTGGCGAGACGTAAAAGGCCAAATCCTAAACTTCTAATCCTGCTTAAAAGTTGAGGTTTTAAAAATGACCATATTAAAATCCTATAAAGCTTTAGCTAATACAAGTGTTTAGATGTAGGGTTACTTGACTGAGTAACAAAACTTAAACCTCTGACTAAGTCTTTGTTAGTCATTGACCATCAGGTGCTCAACACAACAGACACAACAAGAGGACAATTGGAAAAACCCTGCTTAGTGTTCATAAAAATAAAAGTACACTAAAAATGGTCCCTTCCTGTTCGACTTCTTTCCCCTCCCCCAATGAGCAATGTGCTCCATTTCAACAGATGTTGTCTGCTGTGGTGGGAAAGACCAATGGAAGAAATTGTATTCGTCTACGTGCATCTGCTGGAATTGCCTAACTACCCAGAATTAAAAAATAGAACGAGGAGAGAAACTGAAAGAGGACGTCTGAACTTCACTTTGATCGAGATTCCAAGCAAACATATTTCTAAAAAACCCTGTAACATATATAAAAGGTGGGAATCATAGTACAACCTATATGTAACAGATCTAACACGCAGAATAAGGCCAATATTAAAATGTATATATTTTAAGCTCGGAAGGTAACAATTAAAAAGCCAGCAAAAATAAGCTCGTAAAATTGCCAATTGAGAAACCCTGCCTAATGTTGCCGTCTTTTCCAGTGACCGTAGAGAACACCACTAGCTCCAAAACTCACTAAATCCACTGAGAAACGGTCCAACTTGGCGACACCAATAGCCCATCCCCTTCAGGATTCCCCCCAAAGCCACTCCCCAATTATTATCATTATGAATCTAAGCATCAGAATGAATGTTAACAACTATTGTTCACAGCTCATTAACCGACTGCTGACGTGCAACGATAGCACGGGCAAAGTTCACACAAGTAGGAAGGGAGAATGACTGGTTGGCCGTTCAAGTTGCAAGGCTTTTATTGTCATTTGTACATAGCTACAGTGTAGAGATATGGCAATGGAAATCTTAATAATTTCATTCAGGTCAAAAATGGTATTGCACAAACTGGTTACAATCCTGCAAGAGCCACAGATGTTTATTTGTTTCCTTTTTATTGGTTAGAGCATTTGAACACACACACACACACACACACACACACACACACACACACACACACACACACACACACACACACACACACACACACACACACAGTGTCGTCGTCGCGTACTCTACGACACACACACAACACACACACACACACACACACACACACACACACACACACACACACACACACACACACACACACACCGTAGTAAACAATTCTAGTTAATATGAACATTTCCGTCGTTCTTTGGTTGTATTTATGTTTTCTACTGTGTAAGTTAGTAGAGGCACAGATTTAGATATGTGATCCTCTTCAGTCTCAGGCTGTCCAAACAAACAAACTAATATGCTAAGCAGGTAGTTAGATAATGAGATGTTTCTCGGCACCTGTCCTCAGAAATAACTGCTGGACATCTTGTCTTGGAGAAAAACTATTTTCAAAACAGTGTAAAATCTAAAACCTTTGGAGTATTTGAGTTTTGGCACGTCTTTCTGATAGCTTCTGGCAGATAGTTCTCTTGAAAATGTGGACTGAGATAACATCTTGCACAGACAGGACTGGACACAAACTGATATGTATGTCAGACATGTTAAAGAATGCACTCTTTGAGTCCAACTGAGATGTAAATGCCAAACTGTTGAGCAACCATATAGCTTCTTACGACATGACTATTGATTTTCCCAACACCCTGATATAACAAACTGTGATATGAGAAATGCTTATATGCTGCTGTACTACGAATGTACAATTCTATTAGTCCACAAAACAAACAGAAGACTGAACCACTTATTCTAAACTATTTCAGTATAGTAATGAAGGATAACTTCAGATGGACTCAACCCGATCCCATGTCGGATATGGTTACACAACTTCATGATCTCCAAACAAATTCAAGATGTTGCACTTGTGAGTTAACCACAGTCCACAGCAGCAGTCCTTGCTGCAGTTGATAGGAACCAACCCTCCCTCACATCTTATGCTCATTTCCCTCTGCTTCCTGACCCACTTGGTTGTGCTGACCTAGTACAACCAGCAGAGTTTGATGCGTCTGGAATGGTTAACAAGCCCAAACACAGCTAGTACTGTTGACTGTTGACCCTGGGGTCGCTCTGACAGCCCTTCACCTGCTCTGCATCCCACAGCGTGTCTAGGGGAGAACACTCCTGCAACCCCAGAGCTGATTACACACAGGGACTTAGTAACCACGATCAATATGGGGTATATGCAAATCATGTTGCCCTTTCGGCACACTAAACACTGCCATTACAAATCAAACTGCCCTTTAGTCATGAGCAAGTAAATGAGCCGGTGGTGGTGCACAGACTGGGGGTCACACAGAGGACTATTTGGGTCATCACACAGCCACTAGGGCACGACTGCAGCAGGGACTATTTATGACTGCCAAGTGAGAAGTATTGTGTATTGTGTCAATGTATTGTGTTCCAAGATTGCACTGGTATTTGAAAATCACATTACTCCCAGCTTCAAGGCAGAGCCAAGTCAAATGTTAAGAGTGAAGCCAATTCATGATACTTGTGACCACCAGGGCTGAAACAGAACATTATCTGAAGAGCTAGGGGGCAGAAGATTAGGTAGTTGATTATTGCAGTCAATGCCAAATACCAGTTACTCAAATACAACATATGTGGTCTAGGAAACTTTAAATATAACACCAATATCAGTCTCATCAGGAAAATACAAGCAAGACTAAATAATGTGCACTTTTTGTAGGTTCAAGTACTCGGAAAAAAGGCAGCTGTCAATATAATACTGTAGGGACTCAGCACTGCTCAGGTGAAGCAACACGATATTCCTGTCTGCCCTCATTGACTAGAACTAAATAAAGGTCGTTTTTGCACAGACTTGCATAATTTCATACCAACAATTCTGCACGTGTTATGGCCAAACAAGCATAGCTGGTGCAGGACACATTGTCAATGCATTTGGTTAACGTTTGTAGCTGCTAGCATGGAGGCAGCCACCGCTTCTATGCTGTGACACTTTCCCATTTGTCTCCAGTGTGTTTTAGTGGGTCAAATCTGAACCTGGCATCTGGGTAAATATTGCGGATATTGGAATTAAATCAAAATAGATTGTCCAAAAAAAATAATATATATCCTCTGTAATAATGAAAGAGTAGATTCTTGGTATGTTTGGATCCCATTGTTTAGTATGAACATTAACAGGGTGCCAGGGGCCAGGGCGCGGTTGTGCTGCCTGCTGCACCTCCATGTCTGTGGATCTATCGTTCAGAGATAAGTTTTCCTGCCGCACTGTGGTTAGCTACCCCACCCCGCTCAATAACGTGCAACAGCACATTTCATGTCGTAAAATTATCCACCAAACCCACCCACAACACCAAGAGGAAAAAAAACCCCACCGTGAAACCAGCTATTGCTTTGATAATCGCTGAGAAACTTTTAGGCATTGTCAGATAATAGCCGTTGAAGGCTAGTGCTAGCTTTTTTTTTTTAAACAGACTATCCCCATACATTTTAGCTAGCGTGTGCACTTTCCTGTCTGTCTGGAAGGTGGACGAACGCTGAGTGTTTTTAAAAGAAAGGGGGGGTGGGGGGTCAAACCAGTTCTAAACATTCAAAATGAATCTGTGACCTACCTTCTGAGAGGAAAATTAAAGTATTCCCGAAATGCTATATCACAGCCCAACGCGTTCACCACTTGATTCCTCCCTCTGCCGGAGCCGCTGCTGCTGACACCGCTCTGTGCTCTGTGCTCTTTCGCCACTCTGACGCTAGTCCCGCCCCCTGCTTTGGCTTGGCGAGCTCTGAGTGGATCAGCTGGTTTTGACGGACAGCCTCAACAGCCAATCGAAATGTCGTTTTGGACAACAAGGATCGGATCTCACGCCTCCTTTCTTCAGGTTCCCATTTACCGAAAATCACCATCAATTGTTTGTTCATGGTGGCTTTTATGGCGTTTTAATCTCCTGTGTGATGTCACCCCTATTATCTGTTTTTATATATTTACTATCCATCAATCACTATCTCTCTATTAACCTTATTATTAGAGAAGCATCATTGTGCGTACACATATTATACAATGTATTTATGGATCATTGTAAGGCGAGGCAATAAACATTTGGTAGACTGTGTGTTATGTGTTGACTTTACGTGCAACAGTGAATGAATGGGGATGTATATGGAAACCAAATTTGAGAATATAAAAAAGTGTACGAGAGAAAGTAATGCCTTGATCCTCTTTTGTAACGGAGGTTTTAAATATCCATGAATGTAAACAAAACTCCAATGTGTGATGCGCGTTGAACAGTGGAACATGCTTAAACAATGTTATTATTCTACATATAATTTAATAAGGAAAAACAATCCCGATTCTCCTGAAGAACACAGTGTACCACATGTGTATCACCGCACCACAAGATGGCGTTATTTGACACATCCATCCACCATTGAAAGAAGACAACAGCTGTATTCCATCATCCAAACTGTATTTATTCACCCTTTCTCATTCTAGTGGATAATAATAAACTCCCTTTATATAGCAATTTTTCTTAACAAGGTTGCAAAGTGCTGGAGGAGGGTTGATGCAAGTGTTTGTGGTGAAACTGGTTGCCCAAATTATCACGGTTATGGAACAGGATAACATTGGTTTATTGTTTTTATATATCAATTAACTCATTCATTAACAATTTACTTGACACCCTGTTAACCTGGTATATATATAATAGGGTTAGGGTTATATCATTTGATACTATTCTTGCAATAGGACATGTTTTAACCTTACCTTTTCTCATGGATGGCTTCCTCTGAATTGCCTTGTCAGGGGATTTCTGAGCAGAGTCGAAAGCCGCCTTCATCTGTGCCACCTTCACAGAATGGCCCTGCTCATCACACTTTACTTCAGCTGACTTTGGCCGGTCGTGGTGCTGTAGCTTTTCATGCAATTGAATGGTCTCCATTATGAGTGCTGACACAGGCCTGGATTTAGGGCTGTGTTGGGATTTATCTCTCACTGAGACATCATCATTCCCCTCTTTGCCAGGTTGTTTGCCAGGTTGTTCATCAGGCTGTTGTGGCAATGTGTTTGCTTTAAGTTTCATATTAAGATCCTCCTTCATGATCTGGTGGCTTTCCTCAGAGATAACTGTGCCAGCTGCAACCAAAACGGTGTCCTCAGTGGAGTTTTTCACCTTCCTTCCCGTCACAGGTTGTGCATCTGAGCATGCAGAGCCAGATAACTGCAGATCAGCTGGGCGCTCACGGTCACTCTTTACTTGTAGAGGTGGTCTTCTGGTGTCTGTCTTCTCAGCAATAAGTACATTGCATGTGTCTGCACTTTGTCCATCCCTTTTAGTGGGGGGAGACTTTGAATCAGACCTTGATAAAGGTGCAAATTCCTCAGAAATCACAATACTCACTTCGCATGACGTACTCTCATGTGAGACAGCTGATTGTAGGTTGTCTGAAGACAGGTTTTCTTTTATCTCCATATCCTCATTGATTGAAGCCTCTGCTGAGTTGATATTCTCCCACGCAATCTGACAATCATCTTTGGGACAGAGGGATTTTATGAGTGAGTTCTCACACAATGTGTTACCGATCACTCCAGGCTGAGATTGAAGACAATCTGAGGTTGAAGTGTCATACATTTCCGTCTGCTTCATATCCACATGAGGGTCTTTGGTTGGATGTTTTTCTTCAGCCAGTTTTTCTTTCAACCCCTTCCTGTCACATGACGAAGATGTATTTACATCAGATTGCTGGATTTTATCGGTGGATAGCTCTGTTGTTTCCTTTCTATCTCTCCTTAGTAGCTTTATCAAAATAGAACTGGGTTCAACGGCTGGTAAATCTATCTTTTGGTTCGTGGTTGTTTCAGTTGTGTCCATTTGTTGATTGGGCCTTGCAGACTTCCTTTGATCATCAGTCTCAGTGACCTTTGGTTTTGTTGAAGAGTTGAGGTTCAAAACTTGCTTCCCCTCACGTGCTTCCTCTTTTGTATTATTCTCTGTTCTCTTCTTTGGAGGTCTACAGTGAATGGTATCGCTCAGGTCTAATAGAGACTCTTTCTGCAGCGTGTTTTTCAAAGGATGCTGGGGTTGAGCTGTAGGCGGCTCCTTCCTCACACTCAAGCGCTCCACTGTTCCTGTGCAGAGTTTAACATCTTCAACTTCAGCCATGATGGTGCCATGCTGATTTGGTTGAACAGACGGTAACGACTCACTTCCTGCAAGATCTCCACATCTGCTCATCTTCATCCTCACAGAGTCTTCTTCAGTGTTTTCAATTGCATCACCTGAGGTAGCAGCAGGCCCAGACTCTTCATCCAACTCTTCAGATGAGAAGTCTTCTTCTTGGATCTCCTCAAGTGGGACACTCCCCTCGTTCTGATGCTCCATCTTGTTCTTTGATGATGTTTGAAGCTGCACCTCAGTCTTCTTCTCTCTCTTGGGTTGATTGAAAAGCCTCTGTGCTCCGGCTCTTTCCTCAATCCTCACACTACTCTTTAGGTCTGTCTCCAGTGGAGCCGTCCTGCCTCCTCCTCCTCCTCCTCCTCCTGCAGCCCCTCCCTGTCTCACCTCCCTTGCAGCAGAAGGACTAACCCACACATTTATGAGCTTCTCACTAGAAGGTGTTGCTGGCTCCTGGCCGCGGCTCCCATCCAGGTCCTGAGCGTCTGGCTCCTCTAGATTTGTCCTGGAGTTACCAGCCTCCTCCTCCTCTTCCTCTTCCTCACAGGAGCTTCCTCCCTCCATGACATCCCCTGAATGACTGTCTGCCGCTCCTGAGTCAGGGCCCGGTTTAGCGTCCTCCGATCCCTCACCCTGTTCTCCCCCTTCAAGTTTATCCTGGTTCTGCCCCATACTGGTCTGTGGAAGAAGACATGGTGTTAACCTCACAACAAAACACTGATCTTCCCAAATCATGCCACGTGTTGACAATGTTAGCCCAGAAGTATATATTTATTTTACCTGTAGATCCTCACATGGTTATCATGTTTGAATATTGTGCTGAAAAGTATAGGGTTGCGGAACAAGAAGATTATATTAAGTTTTTGAATCCATTCCCAACTTCCAAAAATTGATTTCAAACACATTTTGGCTACAACTTCTACAAACAAAAAAGCAACATACATTATTATGGAGATATTTGATTTCTAATTTTTTAGTTTTTACAGTCTTGATGTGTAAAAACTATGATCAATGTTTTGGGAGCATCAACACTGCAGCAGATAACAGGAGTCCAACCAATTGATTACTCTTTCAAAGCATTTCAAAGTCCTATGATGCAGGTCAGAAAATCGTTTCCATGCACTTTTCTTTTATACATGTAAGTTAGATTGTTGTGTTAGAATGTTTTGCAGGTTTATTCAACCAGAAGTCCAGTTATGATTATCCTTTTTCTAACCTTGCCTCTTAGAGGAACCACACCCTTGTATTAGTAACAGCAGGGGGATTGAACATAGGGCAAAAACCTGGCTAATCTTCTTGCAGAGTTCAACTTTTCCATGAGATAGTCTAATTGTTTAAGAAGTAAAGACCCACTAGACTGCAGCAGTAAGCAGAGAAAATGGGGAGACACAATGAACAATGATGTGGACCATGAGCCTGTTTCCTGTCTATGGACTCAGTCTGTGTGACAACATATGACTGCTGTTGTCTTATCATCTGACAGCCCCCACTTCTCCCAGACACACAGCTGATGTTGTCACAATGAAGGCAGCGCTGTCTTAGTAAATACACACATATTGTTTTCATGCTGTGGTATTATGAGTGAGGGACAGAGCGAGTGTGTGTAAAAAAGATGACACGACAGAAAGATAGTGTGTGTGAGGGCATCAATAAAGTTAGTTACAGAACACTCTGTCATCATGTGGACTCATCAAGTTGGTAGATATCATCATGAAAATATCACTATTATTTGTGTATTTTATTTTTTATAATTAATTGTTGTAGTGTTTGGAAATGTTTTGTTTAAAATTACAATTTAGGGATTATCTCATTAAATATTTGCTTATTTTAATACTTTACCAGAACAGAACATTGGATATAGCCTGGTTCAAAATGATTGTTTCATATTGTAAACATTTTAGAGCCAATGATTTTCAAGGTGGATTTTTTAGTATCTACTTCTATCACCACATACATCGGAAAATACTGTCAACAGACCTAAAGATATATACAAATAATCAAATTTCATCGGCTTTTTTGTTTTGTTTTACATAAATTTGGTTCCTGAACACACCTAAAAAACAAAGTTAGGAAGTTGATGTATTTAAATTCTACTGAAGAGGAGATATGTGGCTCAGTGAATAATAAGAAAAACACATTTGAACAAAACAGCCTTTCGAGATATGTTTTGTAAACGGCAATACATTTTGCAAGGCATTACAGAGAAATAAGGTAGAAATGTGTTACTACTACACCCAGTAAAACTTGATTAGTTACATTATCTGTTTGTAAAATGTGGTGTATTTGGGAGAAATCTCCAAACACAAATAGACAAAGTGGATTAAAAGACCAAAATGGGTACTTTGGATGTTTTCTTTTCACTAGTCTGAAAGGAGACATGTTATGGAATCAAAATAGGCCTAACTCCTTCTCCATTGCATGAGAAAACAAATGTTGCCTTAAGTGTCTCACCTTCTCTTGATGGTAGAGATCAGTAGATTTTGCATTCATTGATATAGCTGCACCTATTTTTTTTCAACCAGTGTGGGGATCCCCTTCCTTCAGGCCGTAAAAACCT